ATATATCACCCCTTCTCCCCATTCTCTCTAAATGTCTCTCATCTTCGTCCCTATGTAACTCCACGTTCGTCCTTCTTCCATCACCATTATTTTTACCCATCACTGCTTTAGCCACCAGGAAAAAAGCACTTACCTCCAACTTTTACTTTGTAATTTATCGCAGAGCCGTGAGGCAGAAGCCAGTGGAGCTGGAGTGTTGATACTGTTAATGAGATTTTTGGGATGTGAACAAACATGTTGAGTCAGTAAGAGTCACAAATATGGCATAGGAAAGACTTGTCCTTGTATAGTGATAAAAGATGACACCAACATCCCCAAACACTTGTGTTTCATTCTTATTTATTGCTCCACTGCCTTTGAGCAATTACATTTTGATGAAATGACAGGAATCTCTTTTAGAATCAATTTTTAAATTGACATTTCTGGTTCTTCAGAAGCCTTGCTTGATTTGCTTTTCTTTAGTCATGTTAAATACAATTTTAATGTTTGTTACAGTAGCTTTATAAAACTATATCTAGTGTAAATGTGACGACCCGACTCTGACTTTAACATCCGTGAACGGTGATTTAACTTTAACATGATTGTTTTGGCTTGAAAAGACTTCCTACTTCCTGTTGCCGTATAGACACTTGAAACGCAAGAACCCTTGTCCCTCATTACGCCGGAAACTAACTAGGGCGGAACCTTTGTTCCGCCACCAGACCTGAACCTTAGTTCCGCCCCGTCTAATCAGTCAATTTTTCTAACTTTGTCGGGCATCTGAAGTTGCACAACGAACGGTAAGTTCTAAATTATTAAGTAATTTTTCTTAACTGTGTAGTGAAATCAACGATGCAGTAAAATTACTAATACCGATACATCATAAACATGGTAACAAGTGGGTTTTTATGAGGTAATCATATCACCCGCTGTAGACGGCGATCAGCAGCTGCACGTGTTTTAGTCATGCACCTGCGAAGACGCAAACTTAACAAAGAAAAACATCCGTTTAAATGTACGCTATATTAAGAATATGTGCGCCGTTTTAGCTTGCTGTCAAACGGACTTTTCAGACAGGAAAACAAAGCCCTTATGTTACACATAAGGGCTTTGTGAACGGAGCAGTGCTCTTTAACTGTTGCAGTCAACTCTGTTTCAATCTGTTTCAATCAAAATATAATAATAATAATCTATTTGCATGTTTCTCATCAAAATATAGCGTTTTGATTTTTTTGGCAAAATACTTATTTTTGGTCAGGAATTTTTTCTTTTTTCCCCCCAAATTTTATCTTTCCTGCATGTTTTTGACTGAATCATAAATAAGCACTTTGCTACGTGCAATTTGATTTCCCAGGAAATTATAAACACTTGATTATTAGCCACATTTAACACAAACAACACAGTATATGTCTCCGTGTTACATGACCCAAGTGAATAAGTAAAAAGTAACACTTCCCCCTCACTTCTGACACAGACTTGTCACTGTAGAGTGTCATTTCTTTTATGACTACCTTAGTGAAATAAATTATTGGCAGATGCTGCTCTACATATTGCTCTAGACAAGCTGCATTCCCCTTTTGTTTTCAAAATAGGATCATAATACATTCTCTTCTGCACTCAGCCGACTCCAGAGGCAAAGTGTGTACAGAAGTGTACAAACAGTTCTGCTGAATCATATTAAGACACAGAAAGCTTAACCAGTTTCATAACAAATCAAACCATCCCAAACCCATTTAAACTAATTATTTATCCAAAACATTCAATCTGTGGTCATAAAGGAATTGCACAAGCCACTTAATTTTGTCTTTATTCAAATACTTTCATTTTCAAGCCTGGGAAGATTTAGAAATGCCGAGCATCTCACTAAGTAGCGGCTGACAACACACATATTAGGATTAATAAGGCAATCTAAATAGCCATTTGCATAGAGCTTGGTGAAATGCTGCTTAACTGATTGGAGCTGAATGTGACCTGCTCAGCGCCCAGTGTTTATCACTTGCCTTGTTAAGCAAGCAAATGTTCATGCAGTACCGCCACAGAGTGCACCAGCATTCAGATGCAAAAATGACCCTTACACAATTTTTAAATAACATTTCACTTTTAATCAACAGACCCACTATGTTGTGACTCAATTTATCTGCAGGTAGGAGCTGCACTTTACATATTCTGTACAAATTATCTAGTCTAATCCCTTGCTGAGTATTTATTAATTACAAAACTTTAACATTAAACATTAAGAAGTACTAAATATAATAATTTCTAAAAGCTATAAATACCAAGCAAAGTTAAACTTACTGAGTTTGGGATTTTTTCCTGCCTACTATGTAGTGATGAAAACAAGGATCGCAGTGATGTAAACAAGGATCGCCAACTTTTGATCACAGTAATATACTATACCACTAATTTCCTGAACAAATCTCCGAAAAAAAAAGTTTCTCAAAAATGACTAAAAATACACTCATTTGCCTTAAAATACTTAGCTCGGAGATTTGTTCAGGAAATTATTGCTATAGTGCATGACTGTGATCAAAAGTTGGCGTACCAGAAAAATCTATTTTTTCTGAATTTTAACAACAGAAATGGACATAGCTAAGTATTTTAAGGCAAATGAGTGCATTTTTAGTCATTTTTGAGAAACTTTTTTTTTCGGAGATTTGTTCGGGAAATTAATGGTACAGTATTTCACTGTCATCAAAAGTTGGCATACCAAAAAAGTATATTTTTTCTGAATTTTAACAATACAAATGGACATAGCTAAGTATTTTAAGGCAAACATAGCTATGTTAAGGCAAATGAGTGTATTTGT